GCACTGCCCTCGCCGAGGGCCACTTATAATGGAGGAGGCCCAACACGAGCCAGGACCCGCAGGGTGGGAGGATTTCTGGAGACTGTCCAAAACGCAAGCTTGTGTTTGCTCATGCTTGTGGAAAAGCCGGAGAAGGATTCTATCCCATGAGATGTGTTATAGAGTATGCGGGTCACGTGGGCTTTAAAGTGCTGGGGAAAAGCAGGGCAAAGGAGAGGTGGGGGGGGGTGCAATGGTCTGTAGGTAAACTGGATGGTGGTGAGGGCATTGTGGTGGAGGGGGTCTGCCACTCTCTACAAGCGCGACCTTAGCCCAGTCATTTCTCTTCACGCAGCTGAAATTTCCATGTCTGCAAAATGAGGCGGTTACGTCACAGGGTTCCCAAGGTCCTTCTTCAATGCTCAAGTCTATGCATCTGTGATTCTGTGACATAGTGGCAACGGTTAGAGCAAGGGAGGAGTAGAGTCGGAGGACAAGCAAAGTGTGTAAAGGAAAGAGGAGCTAAAAAAAAAAAAAAAAGGAAAGTTAGCTTTTGACTTTCTTACCCCATTGCCGCTCGACTTCCAAAAAATGAAAAGCAGACTCGGAAAAGTTGCAGCAGCCAACAGTGGAGCAAAGAGACTTAAAATAATCCTGGCATTAAACAACACGATTCGTGAAACCCAGGGGTTCAAGTGCTTGTTGCATCTTCAAGGAGACCCAGCGTGCTTGGAAAATTGCCTGATAAACATACCACACTGCCCCGCTCAGGTTCAAACACATCCCTGGTCATGTCAGCACTTTGATGCTTCCTGGGGTCCTTCTCTTTCTCATTAGCATTTTCAAAAGGTTACATGACTCAAATCTATTAGTGAGATACGCTCCCCCCCCCCCCACGACCCCCCACAAGTTGTGAGGGTCTGGAAGGAGAGAAGACAGGGCAGTGAACTTGGAGGAGACTCACCCCCAGCCCCACATTCTTCGGGAAAATGGACAGGTCTGTGTCTTTCATGGTGAAAGAATGGGTCATGACCCGTTCAGACACTGTCTCCGGGAGGGCACAGTTCGCGGGCTGCAGAGTAGGGGCACTCATTTGGAAAGACCCTTGCTGCCGACTCTATCGCTGTCCTTGAAGGGACTTTTTCTGCTTCTCTGGACACTTGCAGGCACCCTGGTGAGTTGACCCCAGGGACTCACATCTCAATTCGAGACCAGCTCTCTGGCTGTCACATCCACTTCAACATAACCCCTCCTTTCATGAGAGTGACCTAGAGGTGACCCTCTGAAGGAGACAGCGTGTCTGTGGGATTTGGCCAAACAGATAACCATAGGCTATTTTCAAGAACGGCGAGGAGAGAATGGTGGGGAAACACAGGCGCATGGGTGCCCCCCTCTAGCTCTCCAGGAGACGTGGACCGAAAAACGCTGGTTTAAGAACAGAGTAGCTCAGAGGAGAGCAAAGCTCCCACCCTGTTGGAGACGAAAGTGAGCAGGAAACAAAAGGCTTTAAGTCGGGGGCGAATTTGAGTTGATGTGAACTGTTGCTCCTTTTGGACCAACCCATAAGTGCGTTTGAAAATAGAGACAGATTTTTTTTTTTTTTTTTTTTTTTTGGATATCTGCTTAGAATAACTCTGGGAAGAGAACAGCCTGGGCTTGAGTCCTTAATGGAGGTACCAGGAGGAAATTAAGTAGTTATTGTCTCCTCTTTTGGACAAGGCTGGACAAGATATTCTCTCTATAGGCAAAAGCATGTTTATCAGCATGAACTCATTTATACCATGTGCACACAAGTTGTTTCCTTTTATATGTAAAATGACTCAGTACAGGCTTTGGCATGAGGAATCCGGTGCTGGCCAGCCAACCCTGATGGGTTTGGGAGGGAAGAGGGGCCAAGAGAAAATCCTTAGGTGGCTCTTGTGGTGATTTAATATTAATACGAGAGCTCGTGGGGCACCGGGTGGCTCAGTCAGTTAAGGGTCCAACTTTGGCTCAGGTCACGATCTCACGGTTCATGGGTTGGAGCCCCGCGTCAGGCTCTGTGCTGACAGCTCAGAGCCTGGAACCCGCTTCAGATTCTGTGTCTCCCTGTCTCTCTGCCCCTCCCCTGCTCACGCTCTGTCTCTCTGTGTCCCTCTTTCTCAAAAATAAATAAACGTTAAAAAAAATTTAAGATGAGAGCCCTGACCTGTAAGGTGGCATTGAGACTGAAGAGGAATTTGCTACCGATCAAAAAAGTATAGGATGATCTTTCAGAAAAGTCCTTCAATGAGAAAAGTAAAAATAGGCAAAATGCGGGGAGAAAATACTTACCACAAATATGATGGACAAAAGTGAATATGCTAAATATCTAAAGTGTGTCTAGGCAAAAAAGACATCAACGCCCAGCAGCCATGTGGACAGGGGAAGTGGATGGAAAATTCTCATAGATGAAATATAAATGAGTTAATGAAACCTGTGAAAATGTTTAGCCCCATTAGTAGTTGACAAACTCAAAATGTAAACGGTGAGTTTTTCAGCAATCACATTATTTATTTTTTTAAAATGGCAATATTCATACATGGATGATGTGTGCCCCAACTGGCATCATCTTTCTGGGGGGGGGTCTGCTGATGTATACCAAAAGATTCATAATGTTTCCACTCTTGATTCACGTTCTACTTTTCAGTGACTATCCTAAAGGAAGAATGACCTCATTGTTAACACAGGCTTCTTTGTCAAGATGGTGCTTAGGATAGCAAAAGCAAGGAAGAGGGGGAAATGACCAAGTGTCCAATGTTGGGGATATGCTGAGTAAGTGATGATGATGACATGTTTCATTATCTGATGAGCTATTAAGAAATCACTAAAATTCGGGGGACCTGGGTGGCTCAGTCGGTTGAGTTTTGGCTGACGCTTGGTTTTGGCTCAGATCATCATCTCACGGTTTTATAGGTTCCAGCCCTATGTTGGGCTCTGTGCTGATAGCTCTCTCTCCCTGTCTCTGCGACCCCCCACTTATGTGCTCTTTCTCTCTCAACATAAATAAAACTTAAAAAAAAAAAAGAAAACACTAAAATTGCGTTTTCTTAAAAGTGAAAATATTTTTATATAATTCTAAGCCATACTTTTATGTAATGATTTATACAGTTATTTCACCGTATATATACATATATTATATGCATATGCATATAATATATGTGCATATATTATGGTGTGAATGTAAATAAAAGGAAGATCTGATCAAAACAAAGCTGAATCCTCCATTTTCATCATTATATAAAATTAAGCACCGACACCATTACCAACCGTGGTAAATGGAGTAGAAGGACAGGTCTTGGTGTTTTATGAACTGCAGAATGTCACTGGGACTTTTTTTCCTGATCTCTGTTAACTCCACAACTAACCTGCCACTAAGGAAGCCAATGTTCTAGACTGGCTGCTACAGTACGTGATTGTGGGCAAGACGTTTCACGTCACGAGGCTTCAGTTTCCTCATCTTCACCATGGAATCTGTGATAACACACAGTATTTCCATTTTTGGAGCTGTAGCAACCGACATTTATTTATTTTTTTTTTTTAAATTTTTTTTTTCAACGTTTATTTATTTTTGGGGGGACAGAGAGAGACAGAGCATGAACGGGGGAGGGGCAGAGAGAGAGGGAGACACAGAATCAGAAACAGGCTCCAGGCTCTGAGCCATCAGCCCAGAGCCCGACGCGGGGCTCGAACTCACGGACCGCGAGATCGTGACCTGGCTGAAGTCGGACGCTTAACCGACTGCGCCACCCAGGCGCCCCAGCAACCGACATTTAAATGACAGCGTGTGAAATGCTAACACACCATTGTTTTTGATTGCTCGACAACCGGGTGCCTAGAGACGATCTTACGTGGTGTCAGCTTGCATTTCCTCCATTACTAGTGAGGTTGATACAATTTGCACGTTGACCGCTGAGTTGTAATTCTTCTCTGATTTCTGTCGTTTTTTTATGATTTGAAGGGGTGCTTTGTACATTCTGAACGGCAATTTGTGTTACGTATGTTGGAAATACTCTCTCCGCTCCTTTACTATCCTTCAACTTCACCATGCACAAGTTTGTGTCATGTACAGGTTTAACGTTTTTATGCATTGAAACCCGTGTGTCTTTTTCTTTAAACCTGCTAGAGAAAGAAATTCTTTCTTCATTTTTCTTTTAATTGTAATTGCTTATTCATTTTATTTTAAAGTGTAGTCGGCATACAATGTTGCATTCGTTTCAGGTGTACAACGTATCGATTCTTCTATCCGTTATTCGGTGCCGACCACGACCACGGTGAGTGTGGTCACCATCTGTCACCATACAACATTGTGACCGTATTATTGACTGTATACCCTGTGCCATACTTTTCATCCCTGTGCCTTATGACTTTAGAATGAAATTCTGAACCTCCCCAATTATAAAAACGTTCTCTACATTTTTTCTAGTACTCGCCTAGTTGTGCTTCTATGGATTTATGAATCTATGTGTCTAGACCCTTGCCATGCAGAGTAAATATATCCTTGCTACACCATCGAGCAACACATCAGCGTCAGCTTAGAGTTCTTCCTAAATTCAGAACCTCAGGACCTGTCTCAGGCCTCCTCGAGTCTGCAGTCTACAACATCGTGTGATGCTCAGTAAGGTTTCAGAGGCGCTGGTCCAGGAAAAATTTTGTTTGTGTGATAAGGATATAATCTTATGTTTTTGTGTACCCAATGGACCCAACACCATTTCGTTCTGTATTTCTCTAGATCGCTGCTGTTATGCCCAGAATTCGTGCTCCCCAAAGACCGCCAGGGAGCTGAGTGCGATGCAAAAGCAAAGAGCCTTTATTCAAGCTAGCTCGAGCTCAATCCCCTACCTGCACTGATGCAGCGGTGAGATACCGGAGAGAGAGCGCGAGTTTCAAAAGCACAAAGGTTTTATAGGGGTCTAGGGGCAGTTGGTGAGGTAACGGCTGTGGGCTCAGCCGATTGGCTGGGGAAGGGTTGTGGCCTCGGCCGATTGGCTGGGGAAGGTTCGGCGTCCTGTTACGCAGGTCGCTGGGCGTGTTTTGATCAGGAAGTTTGAACGGGTGAGCGGGAGGTTACTCAAGGGGAGGAGGCGCGGTCTGAGGTTTCTTCGATTTTCCCGGAAAAGGGGTCATGTCCGGGACATAGTCACTCAAGGTGGAGGACACAGAACAAGATGGAGTCGGCCGGCGTAGGCCCACCCTTTCAGCTGCTATTGTCCAAAGTCCTGGAGCGTTGAGGAAGAGAACAGAAGTCTGAGAGGGGAAGTTACTTTTGTTCTTCCAGTATCAATAGATCAACCAGGTAAGTCTAAAAACTGTATCTACCACGTACATGAATTCTGAGGACTCAGAAGGCAGAAGGGTGTTGTGTTGGGATGCATGTAGTTTGGGTCTGGGAAAAATTTTATTTATTTATGCGTTTATTTATTTATTTATTTTGAAAGTTTACTTTGAGAGAGCTTGCGTGCACAAACGGGCGAGGAGCAGAGACAGAGAGAGAGAGAGAATCCCAAGCAGGCTCGAGCTCTCAGCCCAGAACCCACTGTGGGACTCCATCTCATGAACCGTGACTTGATGACGTGAGCTGAGTTCATGACCTGACCTGAAATCAAGAGTCAGAGCTCAACCCACTGAACCACCCAGGCCCCCTGGTTTGGGTTTTGGGAAGACTTTTAAATACATTCTTACATGTGGGACAAACGTTTCTCGGCTAGTGGTAACAATGATACACTTTGCCAGTCGTGTATCATGTTACCTTTCCAACTAAATGAGGGTCCTCCATGAGCTCAGTTCTGTGGGCACCCTCCTGTTCTTATGCTGTCTTTTTGATACCGAAAATGTTAAAAATCATAATGACTCATCACTCAGTTAACTGTAAGGTGCCGAGCTAAATAATACTGACCCCAAGCCCACAAATACCTCTAAAGGCAACATGACAGGGGACTCGCTGCCAATTATTCCACACTGCTCTGCAGGGCCCGATCACGCACTAGGTTTTACCAGTTTAGAGGCCGTGTAAAAACATAGAATCAATGATTAAGTGAAATACAAAATAATTTTTTGTTTTAGTAATACATCAGTAGTTTTGGGATAACTTTCATTCCTGAATAGGGTAGATGTTGTGCTCTCCCAGAGACCAGAACAAAGGAGCACATGGATTATTTTCCTTGTTTTTTAGCCTGAGATAGCACTTAATTTGTTGAAACCAGAAGTTTATGTGAAAAGATACATTGTATGTATGGAGTAACTTTACCGCAGGTGGACGAAATGACTCAAAATACAAAGTGCGTGTTATCCCAGGAATCTTGTTTATACTTGGGATTTTTTTTTTTGTTTTTTTAATTTTTTTGGGTACTTTGGCACGTGGGGACAGGACCTTTTGGGCCTCAGGGACCTGTGACCATGGGATAATAATAAATTATTTTCCCACTGTTCTAGAAGCTGGAAGTCCAAGATCAAGGTCTCAGCAGGTTGGTTTTCTCTGAGGCCTCTCCCCTTCTCCCGGTGTCCCCACATGGTCTTTCCTCTGTGTGTTTCTGTGTCCTAAGAGGGGTCTTCTTTTAAGGACACCAGTCGTATTAGATTAGGGGCCACTGTCATGACCTCGTCTTAATTACCTTTTTAAAGGCCCTATCTCCAAATATATTTGCATTCTGAGGTCCTGGGAGTTAGGGCTGCAACCTATGAATTTGGGGGGAGACACAGTGCAGCCTGTGACAGACAGGGGGTGTCCTGGGAAGGGCGGGGAACCCGGAAGCAGATCACCTGAGTTCATCCAACCCAGCCACTAGCTGCGTCCCTCGCTTTTGGTCTCAGATCTCTCAGCTTCTGCTCCTGCGTGACATCCTTTGCCTCACGCTAAGATTCAAACAATAATATCAGCCTTATGAGGGAGCTATTTTATATTGTGCTCATGCAACCCAGACATCTCCAATTTCTGCACAGATTTTGTGGTCATCCTTTGGGATCCAGGCAAGACGCACTGAGTCTCCACCTTACGTGTTGCGGGAAGTAATCTCTGCTACTCCTTGAGTTTTCTGAGGGGCTTCATTCTCCCGGGGCCTCAGAGCTACCCTCGGTCATGGTCATCGCCCTCAGCTTCTGAGACCGCTCTCTTCCCAGACCAGTCCCTTCTGTCAGAAGCACCCTACGTCGACTTGAGAACAGAAATTTCACTGGAGGTTTTAGGGAAAAGGGTACGGATGCAAGGGTGTTAACATTACATGCACTGCAAGAAAGCTCTTCGGACAGAATTGTGGACTCTTCCCCCTTTTAAGTTTCTCCAGCCTTTTCTTATTTCAGGGCATTTCCTGCTGAGCCACCAACACCCACTTTGGCTCCTGCTTTGTGGCTATGGTTCAGGCCCCTTTGTTTCCCTCAAACGTCCCTTCTGTTTTCCTCCTTCAAGTCTACCCTCGTCTACCCAACCCCCGTGTCTTAAGCTGTCAGTGAACAACTCCTAACATCCCGTTATTTTCTTAGGCAGAAATGTGGCTCGTCCCAGCTTCAGCTTTCCTTTGAGCTGACCTCTGGGGGAAGTAGGTGGCCTGGGGCTCACCTTCCTCAACCAAAGACCCATTGAGAAACAGTCCCCGTAGAGTCACCTCCCCTGTGGTGCATCATGCCTCCCGTGTGTTAAGGCTGCTCTCTCTGTCTAAAATCAGATTCTTGTCCTTTCTTCCATCTACCCCTTTTACACACTACCCCTTTTAAAGCTGCACAATGCTGAGGAAAAAGAAGACATACTTTCTTGTCCCGGTTATATACTCCTGATGATTGTTTCAAGTAGAAACCCATTATAGGGGTCGTTTGTTTGATTCCTTCTCAGTCCAGAATGAAGTGGGTCAAGCGAGAAGTAGCCCATTTCATGTCTATTATTGGCGGAAGGTGCCTCTTCTTTTCTTTCCCCCGTTTTCTGTTTGCTTTTATTTTTTAAATGTTTATTTATTTTGAGAGAGTGAGAGAGCGAGCAGGAGAAGGGCAGGGAGAGAAAGAGAGAGAGAATCCCAAGCAGGCCCTGCCCTGTCAGTGCAGAGCCTGATGAGGGGCTCGAACTCACGATCAACAACTGTGAGATGCCGAACCAGCTGAGCCACCCAGGCGCCCCTCCCTGTTATCTGCGTAAAACAATAAATAACAGCAAACCGGCCCCGAATCTTCTGAAAACTCTGCAGCTGTACTAGTATTTCAGCACCGTCACCTTTGGTTGTATCTCAGCCGATCTCAGGGCCACAGAGGAGCTCCATGGCAAGAGCCCAGACTCAGGAGACAGAGCCTCGGGTTTCAGGGCTCAGTCTGTGCCACACAGGTTACGGGACCCTCTCCGAGCTGGTCCCCCGATCTGTAACACGGTGAGGGGTCTCACCCCTTGCTCACAGGACTGAATGACACCTCGTTACCTGGAAGCACTTTTTTGGCCAGAAAGTCTGGAAGCCAAGTGTCTGAGCTGGGGGGCCGCTGTGACTTCAGACATGTTCGGGCACGTCTGGAGGTTTAATTGGCACGCCGGCCAGGTTTGGGCTCGCCTGACCAGCTCAGGGGAGGCACAGTGACTGCTTTTATTGGATCTGACAGATGGCCCCCAAGAGGAACCACTGGCACCACGTCTGAGGGGGAGCTGGAATGCAGGTGTTCATGCCGAGCCCAGGAATGCCGGTTGGAAGGGAGAGATGGTTGTGTGCACAGGTGAGAGGATGCCTCCATATTGTCTTCCTGCCTCAGAGAACCGGTGCCATGTTCCTTGAGAGAAGGAACTGGAATGAGGGGTGGGCCCAGGGGAAGAGACCTACCCCTGGGCATGCCCTAGAGTACTGAGACAGGGAGCAGTTCCCCTAAGGGACCCGGTACCTCTGGGTAACCCTAAAGCTGATTCAGTGGAGTTCTCCCAGTTGCATGTTGGGGGGGGGGGGGGGGGGGGGGGACTTGGGTTCAGTGAGGCATGAGGTTGTGAAATGTTGGTCATTCCTTTTTTCTTTTTTTTAAATTTATATTTTTTGAGAGACAGAGGGGGACAGCATGAGCAGGGGAGGGGCAGAGAGAGAGGGAGACACCGAATCCAAAGCAGGCTCCAGGCTCTGAGCTGAAAGTACAGAGCCCAATGCTGGTCTCGAATCCATGAACCATGAGGTCATGAGAACATGCTCAACCGACTGAGCCACCCAGGGGTCCTGCATGTTCTCTTTACGAAAAGAATGCACACTTGCGCCTGGGTGGCTCAGTCGGTTAAGCGTCGGACTTCAGCTCAGGTCACGATCTCACAGTTCGTGGGTTCCAGTCCCGCGTCTGGCTCCGTGCTGACAGCTCAGAGCCTGGGGCCTGCTTCGGATTCTGTGTCTCCCTCTCTCTCTGCCCCTCCCCTGCTCATGCTCTGTCTCTCTCTCCTTCAAAAATAAATAAACGTTAAAAAAAAAAAAAAGAATGCACAATTATAGGTGTAAAATGTAGTGTGAAAGGAAGTATTTCCTTAGAATGAAAAAGTAAACCATAACAACTTACATTTTTAAAAAGCTGACAAAGAGTACAAAGCCCAGAAAAATAACAATATATTTTTTCCAGTTACCTGACACGTCTCTCTAATACCTCTTTTCTTATTTTCTCTGGTGACACACACTTTGCTCGTCTCTTCATGTGATGATGATTTTGACTATCACCTTCTATTAGAGAGAATGAAAACATAATTTTGTCTTTCTTCTGGGATGGTTAATCAAAATTAATTCTCCATTATTGATTGTTAGGATGAATAAAAGACTGAAAACAATACAAACGATGTCCTCTTCGTGGTATTCCTACCGCTTGAGCTCAACCAACCCAAGAATCCTGAGAGATCCTATTTTGAGTGATTCTCATAATAAAAAGGAAAAAAAAAAACCCACATGGCATATTTATAATTGTATGTACCAACAAAAGACAGTCTCTGTTTTGACTAGGTGTTGATGAGAACCACATTGTCTGCTTCCATATTTACATGTCTTAACAGCTATAGGGAATTCCTACAGAGAAGCCTCTGTCAGGTGCATTTCAGACCTTGTTCTCTACTATCTGCCCCTGTGGTGTCAGGTCTCATAAGACACGTGGAAGTGGAGTCTTTATTCCTACTCCTTCATGTTTGGATACTAGGTGAGTCGGCACAGGGGATCGGAAAAATTCCTGGAAAGTCATATCTATGTTGGTACAGCTAGCAATAACTTAAGTATACCCGGAATCGACTTTGAATCAGATAAATAGATCCCATTAATTCCCAAAAAACTTCCCTTCACCAGATTCCGGAAGTGCTCCCGGCCACTCCAGTGTTACTGGAGCCGCAGCGAGGTGCAAGGAAGGCAAATCAACGTGGAAAGGGAATGTGGTCTTGGCCACTTGTAGCTAAAACATTTCATTACTGCACACTTTAGAAAAATATGGCCCCGTGAACCCATTGCCGGAGACGGTTCCCGGTTCTTGGAAGGGGACCACGAAAGTGAGGGGTCTCAAAATTTAAGCTTCATTACCTTTTGAGGAAGCATGCCTCTGGCCGACAGGGATAAACTCCTGAATTTCAGTGGCTTTACACAATAGTTTGTATTTTGCTGACATAAAGACCAGTTGGGGAGGGGTGGGTATTGGACTTGAATGGAGTGGTGTATGTGAAGGGGTGGGGGGAGTGAAAACCTTGCCCCATGCAGTCATTCAGGGAACCCAGATGACAGATCTGGCATCTTCAACATGGGCCTTCCAAGGTTACCCTGGGTACCACCCTAGCTGCCAGATAGGCGAGGGGATGGAGACAGACAGAGAGAAAGAGAGAGAGAGAGAGAGAGAGAGAGAGAGAGAGCAAGGGGTCGTACAGGAGGTTTCTGGGCCAACCCAGGAAGTGGTGTCTTTGGCTGGAACTCACTCACAGCGCCATAAAACTGCGAAGGAGGCTGGGAAGTGTGGTACAGCTGCGTACCTCGGGGAAAGAGGAAACAGGTTTTGGTGAATGACAGTAGCCTTTGACATAAGAGGGGACAGGGCTCTCCCTCAATTGGGATTAGAGTGACACAAGTATGGCAAGACAATGCTGCTAGAGCCACAAGAGGCACCCAAAGGCCCTCAAGAGCTCGCGGGGGACCCACCATATCCTCTCGAACCAGGGAGGATGTTCGGGGCTGTCCTAGGAGAGATGGGTCGCAGAAACTATTATTTTGTTATTGGTGATTCTATTCTCTTTGTATCCAGGAAAACTGGCTGGAAATCAGCCTACGGGATGACGATAATGTTGACTGTGAGATTTTTAGGGAGAAGTTTGGAAGGTCATATCACTAAAGGCTACCTACTGCCATTCAATGCAGGGATTCCCGACGACTATTTTTATCAGACTGTGAGCTCCAGGAGCAAATGTGTCTCATTTACTTTTGGGTCCCAGTGCCTAGCAGGGTGTTCTGTTGGGCTGTTGAAAGGATTTTCCTAAGTACATAACCATTTTATAAGCATTAAACATTTTTTGATATATGGCATTGTACAGAGCCTTGACAGGATAGACATTAATGCCCAAGTTTAACAAAGTGTCTTCACTTTGACCCACAATTACCAGATATTTCATAACCAGTTGGAAAAGGTGAGTTCTTCATTTCTTCTGGCAAATGGAAAATGAGTTCTCCCTTAAAGCTTTTGCCTCCACAGAAGTTAAAAATCCATTAGTAAATTAGGCTTAGCTGAGTCCATCCATTGATATGTGATCCTTGGAACCTCTCAAGGAAAATCAATGTGTGGCTTTGCAGTTAATTAACATAATGTTAGCAGGACGTATAATGTCAGCATGGCTGGAAGCCTCCTACTTAGTGTTCTGCTCGGCCCGAGTGAGCAAATAGGGTAGATCAATATTTTTCATAAGAGACCATATCTGGCCTCCTCGAGAGGAGATGAGCACAGGACTAGTCTTAGGTCGAAATTGCACCCATCTGCCCACTCTTGTGCGCTTGCCTGACGGCGGTTGCTACGGTGGGACGAAAGACGAGAATCAAGCCAAAACGAGAAGAATTCAAACTCTGTCCACGTAAGGACGATTGGTGGCAGCCGTGGAAGCTGACCAGAACACATTCAGCCCTCCGAGACACGAAGCTTGAAGATGGGCATGATGAGGAGGTGGGGGCTGTTGAAAAGATGCCTTCCATGGTTTCTGTGGTCGGGGCTGTGACCACAAAAGGTGGTGTCCCAGCACGGGGACCCGTCTCAAGGTATGCGGGTATTTTCCTCCTGTCCTTGCCCTTCCCCCCAAATGTTTAATTATAAAACACACAGAACGGAAATTGACCACCGTAACCACTTTCAGTGTGTAATCCTCACCACTGTGCAAACATCACCACCATCCATGTCTAGAATGCTGTCCCGCAAAACCAAGACCCTTAGTCAATAGCTCTCCATTCCCTCCTGGCCCCTGGCCCCTGGCAACCACCCTCCTACGTCCTGTCTTTGAATTTGACGGCACCAGGGACCTCATAGAAGCATACAGTATTTGTCTTTTTGTGACTGGTGTATTTCACTCAGCTGAGTGACCTCAGGTTTCATCCGTGATGCAGTAGGTGCCAGGATTTCCTTCCTTTTTATGGCTAAAAAATACCCCAGTGTTTGGATGCACCCCATTTTGTGTACCTAGTCATCTGTCGGCAGACACTTGGGTGGTTTCTGCCTTTTGGCTGCTGCAAATAATGCTTCTGTGGACATGGGGGTATAGATATTTCTTTGAGCCTCTGCTTTAATCTCTTTTGGGTATATACCCAGATGTGGAATTGCTGGATCGTATGGTAATCTTGCTTTTAAGTTTTGAGCAACTGCCATACAATTTTCCATAGTAGCTGCACCATTTTACGTTCCCACTTAGAGTGCACAGGTGTTCCAAATTCTCTGATTGAGAGAGAAATTCCCGCCAACCCCTGTTCTTCCCTTCCCTTTTCTCTTTCTTTCTTTCTTTCTTTCCTTCTTCCTTTCTTTCTTTCTTTCTCCCTCCATTTCTTTCTTTCTCTTTTCCTTCTTTCTTCCTATATTTCTTTCTTTCTTCTTTCTTTCTCTTTCTTTCCTTCTTTCTTTCTTTCCTTTCTTTCTTTCTCCCTCTTTTTCTTTCTTCCTTTCTTTTTTCTTTCTTACTTCCTCCCTCCCTCTATTTCTTTCTTTCTCTTTTCTTTCTTCCTGTTTTTCTTTCTTTCTTTCTTTCTTTCTTTCTTTCTCTTTCTCTTTCTTTCTTTGTTTCTTTCTCTTTCTTTCTTCCTTACTTCCTCCCTCCCTCCATTTCTTTCTTTCTTTCTTTCTTTCTTTCTTTCTTTCTTTCTTTCTTTCTTTCTTCCTTCCTTCCTTCCTTCCTTTCTTTCTTTCTCTCTTTCTCTCTTTCTCTCTTTCTTCTTCCATATAATAACCACCCTAATCGGTGTGAGGTTGTATCTTGTGGTTTTGATCTGCATTTCTCTAATGATTATTGACATTGAGTATCTTTTAGTATGCCTGTTGGCCATTTGTATATCTTCTTTGGAGTAAGTCTATCCAAATTTTTGGCCCATTGTTAAATCAGGTTGTTTGTGTTTTTGTTGTTAAGTCCCCCCCCCCCCCATTTAAGATGTGGCATTCTGTATTATGACACTCGTTCTCTCTTTAGCCAATCTTGTTCAAGGCACTGAAGCTTGCTGTTGGGTCTCAGGATGTTTTGGAGCACTGATTTGCCAGTTGTGGCCCTGTGCTATGCTCTCAGGAGTTGACAGGGGTCTGGGGGACAGTGGGGGAACGGAGGCGAGGGCTGGTTTGGAAGAGGGGATGCCCTAAGGTCTACTCCTGCTTCAGGCAAAGAAGCTTTCTCTTTCCCTGCCTTACCTATTGGAACTCCCATCTAAGATGGCGTTTAGTGTTTTCTCCGCTACAAAAAATTTCTGAAACACTTGTAGGGATAAGGTTGACCTCCATTACCTTTGTCTGCTCCAGCCTGTTTGAAAACAAAGCCCGCCTCTGTGTGCTTCGAGTTGGTTCCTCAGCAGTGACTTGAGGGGAATCATGGTTCAGTTCACATCCATACATAATCATCGAGTGTCCACTATGTACCAGACCCTTTCTCGAGCTTGTGGAATTGCAGGCAGATGAACAGAACGGCTGCTCTGGGGTAGAATCGGCCTCCTTGGAAATAACCAGGTGAATGGAACTCGGGGCGAGAATGTGACCCCAGCTCATGTGCCTGACCTGCACCTGACCGGGCGCAGTTCTCCCACATGGGCCCAGGGGACTTTATACTCCTTAGGCTCCTTAGGTCGCCGAGGCACTCCCTCAAGGGCAAAGGCTCAGCCCGGACCCCGCGGGCTGGCCACATCCTCTCTCTCCTCTCCCTGTCCCCCAACCCCTTCTCTCTCCTTCACCCCGTAACTTCCCTTTTCCCCTCCCGGCTCCAAATCTCACGCACCATCTGCCGTGACTAGTGTTCTCATTCACCTTCTCCCGCTTATCTGGTCTTCAGCAGGAAAGTGCTTCGGAGGCCGACAGCCTAATCTCTCCGCTGATCCTGTGTTTCTGAATTCATCATCCCTCCCCTCAGGCTGCTGTCCCTGCACTGCGGCCCTGGGCTGAGCAGGAGGAGGGACGATGGGGTTGCACCAGACCACAAAGGAAAGGAGAAAAGCAGAGGGAAAAGAAAAAGCAGAGGAGGAGTCATCCAGGCACAGGGAATGAGGCTGCAGGTGCCCAGAGGCCCCGAGGTTCTGACAGGGGTCGAAAGACAGGTCGTCTGTCCCCCTGCTTCCAGGAGGGAAGCTCGTTCTGACTTTCTCAAATCTGCCCCGTCTGGTCTGCACGTGGCACCTTGCACAAGGTCACCTGCAGAACGGTCTCTCTGTATTGCCATCCGGATGGTGGCTGTAAATCACTTTTCCTTTGTCGGTTATTTTTTTAAACTGACTTTTTTTTTAACTGGGAGAAGATAGGGCTCATTACCTAGGGGAGAGGACAGGAAACTCACCCTTAAAATATAGACTTGTGGCGGCACCTGGGTGGCTCAGCCGGTTGAGCCTCTGACTCTTGCTTTTGGCTCAGGTCATGATCTCACAGTTCGTGAGTTCAAGCCCGGCATTGGGCTCTGTGCTGACAGTGCGGAGCCAGCTTGGGGTTCTCTTTCTCCCTCTCTCTCTCTCTGTCCCTCTCCTCTTCGAGTGCACTCTCTCTTCTTCTCTCAAAATAAATAAACTTAAAAAAACATATACAGGCTTATGACCTGTAAAGTGAGGCCATTTAAGCGTATGATGCTGCTACAGATTTTCTTTAAGCATACGTTTTTTATTTCTGTTCTACCTTAAAGAGTGAGCTGCTGGCCTCTCCCCCTGCCTCCTGCACCAGGGAAGACGTGGGCAGTCCTTTAGACACTACCCTTCGTAACACTTCACATTTACAGGAACTTTTAACGTTTCCAGATCATTTTCCTTTTATTTTGTCTTTCACGTGTATGCACACATTCTTCCCATATGCCTTCCCCCCCTTTTTTTTTCTCCTTTTCATTTTTGGCTCATTTGAGGATGCTGTGGTGTAGGGGACATCCGCTTCCAGCACCATATTGAAATGCTGAGGAGTGCACTTTGGGGAAATGAAACTCAGGTAATGTGTCCACTCTCTGGAAAGGGGGAATGATGATAAAGTGTTAGAGTTTGTCACTGTTCCTGAGCTGGCACGTCTCGGAAGGAAGGAATTGTCATTACCACAGCTGTTCTCACCCCCCTGTCTCCCACCCTGATGTGGATCTTCTCATAAAATCTATTTCGGGAGCAAATGGAAGAGAACTGGACATTAGGGGCGGCAAGTGGAAGCCGATCGAATAACAAAATGAGGCCCAGATCTTGTGTTATTTTTTTTAAAGATGTTTATTTATTTATTTATTTTTGAGAGAGAGAGAGAGAGAGAGAGAGAGAGAGCAGGGGAGGAGCAGAGAGAGAAGGAGAGAGAGAGAGAGAGAGAGAGAGAGAGAGAGAATCCCAAGTAGGATCTGCACTGTCAGCACAGAGCCCGACGTGGGGCTTGAACTCATGAATCGTGAGATCATGACCTGAACAGAGATCAAGAGTCCAATGCTTAACCCACTGAGCCACCCAGGTGCCCCTGTTCATCTATTTTTAAAGCTATTCTCTAGGGCGGCTACATATCACTTGTTCGATTCAATTCTTGGCCCTCCATAAGTGTAACTTCATGAAGACATTGGCCTTTGTTATGGTAAGTGGTTTTGTCCAATCACAATGTAAAGGACCATTTTAGAACACTGAGGTTTTAGGAGTTTTCACGGTTCCTTCTTGTGAACACATAAATTTCGCTCATGCATCACAGGATACTGCAGCCGGCGGGAAGGGGGTTGAAGACATTCGTGTGTGAAGGCCACGATGGGAGTGAATGGTGGTCTCAGAGCTGCAGACGGACAGATGGCAATTTCATTCCACTTCGTTGCTGGGAGAAAGCAATAGCGAAGCAATCTTCAGCCAGAGGAATACTTGTCGAGTCCATAGAATCAGTCAAAAGGCAGCAGCAAGAAGTTTAGCAGTTTCTTATCAAGTTAAACCTATACTTACTCTATGCCTCACCAAACCCCTCCAAAGTATCTACTCAAGAGAAGCCAAAACTTATGCCCACGAAAACCCTTTTACAAGAAGACCCTTAGTAGCTTTATTCACAATAACCCAAGACTGGAAACGTCCAAATGTCCACCAATGGGAAAATGGGTAAACAGATTACAGTATCTTTGTAAAATGAACTACTACTCAATAAGAAAAGGGAGTACACCATAGATATATTAAATAACATGAGTGACTCTTACAAGACATCACATTGTGTGAAAGAAACCAAACCCAGAATAGTGTATCTTGTGTGCTTTCCTGTATGCGAAATTCTAAAACAGGCAAAGCCAATCATTGGTGATAAAAATCAGAAGAAAGGTGGACTCTGGGGACCAGCGAGAAGAGGTCGACTGAGAAGCTGCCTCAGGAACTTTCGTAGGTGAGGGAGCTGTCTCCTAGCTTGATGGGGGGCGGGTAACATGGGATTTATATTTGCCAAAACTCAGTGAAATTGAAACTTCACTGGGCATCTCATGGAATATAAACTTTAGCTCAGAATTAACACAAAACTATATGCAAATATTTTAAAAAACACTGTAGCCAGTATGGGTGTACTGTCTCACAACTGGGAGATCTTCTATAAACATTCTCAAACCTGGCTGCACCTTAGCTATTTATTGGGGTTAGCTCATATTCTGCCAGCTCCCAGGGCTGAGTTACCTCCAGAACTTCTGACTCTGGGGGCCTGGTCTTGGAACCTACATTTCAGAATGAATTCTAGGGCTTCTTATGACATACGTTAAGGGTTAGATCTCAGTCAACATTTTTAGGAGGCTGCTACAATATTTGGGTCCAGCCACTTCTGCCACTTTTGGGCGGTGACATCAGTGAATTAAAAGGTAAGTGTGTTCGTTCAAACCCATGTATATTTTTATAAAAGAAGTAGGTGTGAAGTGGAAGACAGAGGGAAGGAACTAACATACGTTGAGCCCAAGATGTGCCAAGGAGGCTATTGGGCATTTGACGTAGATAATGTCATTTAAACTCTCTAAGAAGCACATTTATCATTTATTATCTGTCTTCCACTGCAATCGCCATAGTCCAGGCCCTCGGCTATTAACAGTCTTGCCTTTTAAGCTCCAGCAAAACCAACTTTCTTGCAAATCTCTTAATAGGCTGAGCTATTTCAGGGCCCTGGGCCTTTGCGATGCTGGGGATGTATTTTCCCTTCGTCTGCCAAATGTATTTCTACTCATCTTTAGGATCCCGCTAAAGTACCCCGCATTATATGTAGTCCTTCCTGCTCCTTCCCTTACTCCGTTGGTAGAATTTTATTCTTCTTCAGGTAAATGTTGTATCTGCTATCCTAGGATTTGTAACAAAGCGTGTTTTGGAATTCTCTTACGTGAATCAGAGACAGTCATTGGTAACTGATGTAATGCTAAATGCACTCAAATGCAGAAAACCCTACAAATAAATCTTTGGCAGTCAAATGTAGGCTTGCACTTGACTTATTTCTACTTCTACTATTTATCGAATGGAATTATAATTTTTAATGTACATTTCTCATCTGCTAGACAAACATCTCCTCCAAGAGAGAACCGTGTCTTACGTGTCTTTGAAATCCCACGACCTTGCACAAAACCTGGCCTGTATTTAGTGCCCAGGAAATCACTCTTGAAAAAATGAGTGACTGAGTAAACGAGTGAATGAGATCACCTTGCTTCTCCTTAAATCTAGCATACCCCAATAAATAGTGTATTTTCAGTAACTACCTATGGACCTCAAGATAAATGTAAACCCTCAAAATGTATTCCAAGAGTTCCCCTAATCATCATCTGCCCTACTTCAGTTCTGTGTCTAATCTTACGGGCTAACAATTTTACCAAATTGTGTCCAAAAGCTGTCCAAAGTGTCCAAAGAGCTGACTATGAGCCTCATACTCACATCTGCTGTGTGACTTTGGTCAAATGACCTAACATTTCTGAGTCTTGTTTTTCTCATGTATGAAATGGGATACCAACTGAGATAACATATACAGATTGCCCTGGAAGTGGTGCAAAGTTTATTTTTCTTCTTCTTACATTATTATCTTAGCTGCACACAGAACTGAACCGATGTTACTTACGATCCTGCATACCCTTCTGTATGAAGCTTTAAGGCGTCAATTCTCTTTGAACTTGGGAGAGCCGACATTTTTTTTTTTTTTTGTCCTGAACTGTCTGAACCACTGTGGAGCTTCAACACATGCTATCTCAATTGTTATTTAACTGTTTCACGTGTGCATGGTCTTTCTCCCAGATTGGCAACCTCTCAAGGGCAAGAGTAGGGAACACGTGTTACCCTTCTTTTTACACCCCTGATCATTTAGGAGATTGTAACATATTAAATGGACTAATATTAAATTGTCTTGAATAAGGGGTATGGAAAATATATTTAGAATCAGAATTTAGAGTAATAAGTTCTTAAGCATCAGTGAATGCAACCTTCTCTTTCTATGGAAACTATAACTTATGTATGTTATGTGCCTTTCTTGTGTCACAGCTAATAATAATTGAATGGTTGAAGCTAGCGATTCTTGAGAACATCTGAGAACCATGCCAAGTAATCTAAATGAATGATATAATCTAATGACGTTGGATTTATTATAATCCCCATTTTACAGATGGAAACACTGATGCTGAGAAGCTAGGATTCAACTCCAGGCATCATTCTCTGGAGCTCCTATCCTTGAACCTGCCTTTGGCATTGATGTTCTCGGTTCTCACGCCAGCGCCCTTCCTGCTCCAGGGTAACCATTGTTCTCTCCATGGAAGTGGTTCTTTGCATGTGGCCCTAGAGGAGCGGTTGCAGCATCACCTGGGAACTTGTTAGAAATGCAAATTATTGGGTCCCACCCAGCCCTGCTGAATCAGCAGCTTAGGGGTGGGGAGAAGTGGGGAGTCCAAAAATCTGAGCCTTGACAAGTCCCCCAGGTTGTCCTGATTGTCCTGATGCACCTCTTGTTTGGGAACCACAGCATGAGGGTAAATGTCCTTGTCTTTTTGCTTCTTACATTGCCCGTCCTGTGGCTGACTAGATGTTTATACAACGAGGTGTTTTTACAACAAGGGTGATGGAGTCTACACTCTCCATCAATGGTCAATGATTTCCGTGTTCTGTATAGGAAATGCCACTTGAAAGCAAACAGAACTAGCCTGAAGTCTGCTGGGATGCATCTCATAGTTTTAAGAGAGACTTAATTGGTTTTGTTATTTTACTTGTTTTTATGTATATTTTTATAGTTTTACTTAACACAATTATAAGAAACGATTTGGATTTTCCCCGCACAGTGACTGGAAGTTTTAACCCGAACTGTATCTTCCCATGGTCCTTCCAAAAATTCTGTATTCTGGTTGGAATCCCTACTAGGGTGTTAGAACATTTGAAGACAGAACAAAAATGTCTCTTCATTAAAATTTGGGCCAGATTTCGTTATGAATACGATACATGCAATATGTAATAATTAGGGAAGAAACCGAAGCTTCATTTTTTGTGTAACGTTCACATACAGACTGGTAAGAAAAACAAATTACCTTAGCCAATATCCATCGGCTTAGTTTATGTGAAAATAATGAGAGCAAAGGTTAAATAAAATATGTGATTTCTTCAGTCTTTTAAAGTTCTTGCAGCGATTTTTCTAGAATGTAGCAATGGGCAAATCTCTACTCACGACTGTCATGAGACTTGTATGTGGTGATTGTCATTCAACCATTTTTAACATTAAAGCAATTACCATTTATTTACTGACAATGTGGAGCTAACTTGGGGAAAAATCCATTCGATTAAAAAAACCTTATGTTTATATTTATTTATTTTTGTTTATGTATTTATTATCATTTTTTACTTATTTTTAAGAGAGAAACAGGACATGAGTGGGTGGAGGGGGCAGAGAGAGAGGGAGAC